GCCTAGGATGGAGAGGTTAGTTCATTTTAATTTTTGCATGAATTATCTAAAATATATGAAGAAAAACATTCATTTTTGTTTTTTTATTATAATAAATTTCAAGGTGAACCATGTTCTATTGGAGATCTCATTGTGTTAAGAATTATTTATATTCTTGTATTAAGGCATATTGATTTTGGTACAGGTATAGTGATTAAGGAAGGATCCTTATTTTAGTCTTTTGAAAAAAAGAATTCCTACTTGTAACGATTTAACATACCACTCTCCTTACAAATGCAATCTGTTGCGTGTATATCCAGCAAAATTTTATGAATGAGGTGAACGACTCCGATCCTGCTAATGCCAATGGTCAAATGAACTCTAGCCTAAATGATCTGTCATTTACAACTAATTGCAACGCTCAAAAAGCCTGACTTATTTCTACATGAGTCATCGATGATCGCTAACAAATAATTGCCTGCTTCAGGTAAAATTTCAGTAGTCCAGAATGTAGCATGTCATACTGATAACTGACATTGACTTCAAATACATGTATGCATTATTATGCAGACATCAATTAACATGCTATAAAATCATATGTCTACAGATACAATGCCATCAAACTGAAATAATCTCTAGTTCTCTTCTATCTCTTAAGATGTTACATATAATTAACTATGGAAATTGTTTGTATGAGTGCAGAGAACAACTTCCAACTCACTAATGTTAATGATCATATACATCTCTTTTCATCGATCTCGCTAAGCGTCACATAAAACTAAGGAAATATTTTGTATGAGTGAAGTGAGCAACTTGATTGATCAAAGAAGCAATAAGAATGAACGAATTTAACTCTTCACATAAATACACAGTCAATTTTTAGATTGATAGTTTCAACTTTTTACAGCTGTTCATGTTGTTCGAAAAGGAGCTGATTTTCACATTATTCTTGTTCGGGTTTCAGGTTGAACAAGGCAAACTATATTAGTCTATATTAATGAAGCATGAACAGCTTCAAGATTGGCTATATGCTTTGTATTTTTCTTCACTTTTGTTCTTACTTTTTATTTATTTATTGTCTTGGTTTTCTTTTAAAGGCCTTAGATGACAAAATGATATCAAGAAGATCTTGACATCTTAGTTCAACAAGTGAAGTTATAATTCTTTCACTGAGTTCTGAAAGCCTGCTTATCTCTAGCCTCAGATTATAATTATGGGTTTTCTTTTTTCAATACTAGTCCCTTAACTCTTTCATAATTTGAAATTAGTCCCTCAAAGCATTGCAGTTGCCATAAATTGCTATTACTCCCCCAACTAGTCATCAGGTATTTCAAATTATTCTGTCTAATCTATACTTACTACTCTCGACCCCAGAGGGACTTCAAAATAGCTCAAGTATTAACAGCAATTTCTATGGTTCGAGGTACTAATTTTGAAATAGGAAATATTCAAGGGACTATATACAAAAAAGTCCCTAAAGCTCCCACCGGCTGAGCCTATATATAACCGGAATAAAACAATTTAAATCTCCTTCAACATCCAAAAACCCCCCAACGAAACCCAGAGAGCGATTTCTTCAAATCTTTGGCAACTTCTCGTGATTCTGATATCAACAACTTTTAACATCTTTTGGTGCAGCGATGGATGGAGATGAGAGAGATTCGGAGAGGCAAAGGGTTTAATTTCTCAACTCTTTCTCGGGTTTTTCGATTGCTAATCTGCGTGTGCTTCAAGGTTTTTAGATTGTTTTGTGATGTCTAGATTATTAATCCCATTCAATTCTTGATGGTTTCTCTATTTGGAGAATGTAAAAATTGGTTCTTGTCGCTTCTTGGATCAATCCCAGTACAGGTTTCTCTTGGATATGATTGCCCATTTCATTAAAATGATAAAAATGGAAGTGAACTGAATAAAATTGCGGAGCACCCATTTACATATTAATGGAGATTTATATGATGTTGATGAGTATTCATAGTGTTTACTTGACCACAGACGAAACTAAATACTAGTCAGCAACTTTTTAATCCTCAAGGTTTCATTTTATTCTTAGATCATTTCCAACTGATAATGAGTTTTTATATGTTTAAAGATTTTGGATAATGGCGATTGATAGGTCCTGTGCGCTTTAAGATTTTTAGATTTCTTGATTTCTAGGTTGTTAATCTCATTAAATTCTTGATAGTTTCTTTATTTGGAAAATGCGAAAAATTGGTTCTTGTTGCTTCTTGGATCAATCCCACAGCAGGTTTCTCTTGGATATGATTGCCCATGTCATCAAAATGATAAAAAATAAGAGTAAGAGCCCATTTACATACTAATGGAGATTTATATCATGTTGATGAGTTCATAGTGTTTACTTTATCACAGACAAACTAAATGCTAATCAGCAACTTTTTAATTCTTAAAGGTTTCATTTCATTCTTAGATCATAATGAGTTTTGATATGTTGAAATATTTTGGATAATGGCGACTGATAGATGCAATTGATTTTTGTTACTTCTCGGTTCTATCTCCGTACAGGTTCTGACCTCTACTTTGTTTACAATATAACAAAGGCATATGAGTCTTGTTTCATCAAGAAGATAAAAATAAGAAAATAAACAGAAATGTGATTACCCATTTACTGTTTCATGAATCTTTATACGATCTTGAGGAGTTTATCATGTATACTTGATCACAGAGAGCAGAGGATATGTCAGGATTAATTTAACTAATTATCGTTATACATCCTTTTACAGAGGGCGACACCTCCTGCTTTGACGTTAGAGGAGGAAACTGAAAGAATCAGAATGTATCAATCTCAGCCAGATCTAGTGAAGTACACGGTTTCTACCGTACCAGCAAGAAAAATTCAGATTGGCAATTGGCAGGTAACTTGATATTTCCTATTGAAAATATCAATTTCAGGTAACTATCGAGATATCTAACAAAATTGTATTTTATATGTGAAGAGAACCACAGATAATGATAACGAGATACTTGCCAAGTTTTTCTTTAGAATTGAATCAATCGCGTGGGAGATAGTCGACGACAATGAGACTAAGAGAATAGAGATGTTTTGGAATAACATATCGTCGCTTAGAATGATATCTTTTGAAGGGAATAGCATTCTCAAAGTCGAGGTATTTTTTTTTTTGGTGATAAACATACAATTTTCTCAAATGGACTTTTTGATTGAATTTGTTATTTTTGCAGTTGGAAGCTCCACCAGAGTTCTTTACTGAAATCGATCCCCAACCGAGAAGGCATCGACAGTGGATGAAGATCCCGGATTTTACAAATGGTGAAGCCGAAAGATGCAGGTATGCATCACTAACACGTCACATGTATGTTATTGGCTCTGATTTTCATTTGGGTTCTTTTTCGCTACAAACCCTTGAAATCTACCTTATTTGCATTTTTACCCATAAATCTTTGCTATATTCCCCCAAACCCCCTTTTACAAACAATAAACAGATAATACTCATGGCATGAGATGAGGGGGCATTTGATATGTTTAGAGGGAATATGGGGTAAATAAACAAATAGACTGATGGGGTTTTGGTTTTTTTCCTCCTATGTGCATGCGCGTGTGTTTTGCGCTGTTGGG